AGAGGGGGGGCAAGGAGGAGGGGGTTGCTCTGCCGGCAGGATGCTTGTGGGGTAGGGGGTCACGGGGAGCAGGGGAACGCTTGTGGGGCTTCTTTGGAGCTTCTTTGCGGTGTGATGCTCGTGGGCTGGAGCAGGGGGGTGTTGCTGCAGAGGGTGAAGGGCAGGGGGAGCAGGCAGTGGGGTGCACAGGGTGTGGGGTGCAGGGGGACGAGCGTGGGGCAGGAGGAAGCAGGGCGGTTTCTCTGCCAGAGGGTGCTGATGAGGGATGTGGGGGTTTCCCTTCAGGGGGATGCTTGTGGGGCAGGAGAGGTGCAGGGAGCGGGGTCCTCTGCAGGGGGATGCCAGGGGCAGGAGGGGGCAGCAGGGAGCCCACCGCGCTCACTCACTTCGCAGGTTCTCGCCCGTGGTGTCGTACTTGTCATGGATCCACTCGGGTGGTGGCGGGTAGAAGTTGGCCTGGGAGGCGGCGAAGCCCAGGGGGTCATTGCTGGCCCACACGGTCAGGCAGATGTAGAAGGTGTCAGGGGGGATGATGCCGTTCTCATCCACCAGACGCCGCGTGGTCAGCTACGGGGAGAGAGCAGGAGCCGGCATGAGCAGGGCAATGGGCACAGCACCGTTCCCCAGCCCAGTCGCCCCAGCTCCATCCCCACGCACCTGATTGAAGTTGAAGGGCTCCTTCTTGTTGCCGGTCTGGATTAGAAGCTTGTATGCCAGCGCCCCGTCCTCAGAACCATTGCGGTAGCTGTCGTGGGTGATGCGCCCAGCTTGCCAGTCCCTGTCAAAGGTGGCCTGGAGCCCTGGGGATGCAGTGCGAGGGATGAGCATCCCTTGGGGCACGCCACTCTGCACAGCATCCAGTGCACCTCTGGAAGCACTGTGCCAGCAGGATGGGCACACAGGAACTCCAGGGCTCAGTTTGGCATTGCTGGGCACCTTGGGGGCACCATGGGACCACCCTCCCCAGGGTGCCACACACCAGGGAAGGTATTCCCAGACCAGCAGGGAAGGTGCAGGTTTGGAAGAGCACGGAGAAGAGGAACATCCCTCACCTCGCAGCCAGTCCTGGAAGTAGTGGAGCCACATCTTGGGCAGGTCGCGGTTGCCCTCCCGCACCACGTACTTGACAGTGCTGAAGGCCTGGTGCAGGCTGAGCAGGGCGGCTTGGGCACCCGGGTAGTGGAAGCCGCCCTTGGTGACGATGAACATGTTGTAGAAGGAGAAGTACTTGAACTGGGCCGAGATGAAGGCGTGCGCCTTGGTGTCCCGCGGCACGATGTCTGTCAGGTAGAGCCCGTCGTGCACCATGGTGGTGCCGTAGAGGCTCAGCCCCAGCAGCGCCAGGAACAGCACCGCCACCACCGCCTGCGGGAACAGCGGGGGGTCAGGCTGGGTCCCCTGCCACCCACCCACCTCAGGTGGCATCGCCGGGGCCGTCCCCACCTCACCTTGGTCCGGGTCCGCAGGAGGAGTGGGGCATACTTCTCCCGGGCGAAGTCGGCGAGGCTCCAGCGGCAGAAGGGCAGGGGGACGCACTCCCGCCCGCCCTTGGCCTCGTCCAGCTGGGCCAGCAGGTCCCGGGTGGAGCTGGACGGGGTGAAGACCTGCGAGCCCAGGGGGTCGGTGGGTGGCAGGAGGATGGCGGGCGAGGTGCACACCTGGGAGGTGGGTGGCAGGACGGTGACAACGTGGTGGCCTGAGGGGTCGCACCGTGTGAAGGCTTGCACGGTGGTGGTGATCTGGGTGCTGGTGGCCACACCAGGGTGCCCATAAGGGGAGGGGTGGCAGGCATGGTTGTCGTTGGCATCAGCGAGCTCTTGGGGTTGGATCTGGATGACCCGTGAGGAGCAAGGACTGATGGGAGAGAGGAAAGGAGGAGAGAGGGAAGGAGAAGAAGATGTTGAGGGAGAGGAGCAGAGCCACCCCATGCTTTTTGGGGTACCCGCAGGGTCACCACATCCCCACCAGCCCAGCGGCGGTACCTGTAGAAGCAGCAGAGGATGTCGAGCCGGCGCTTCTCCCGGCGGTGCAGGTCCAGGCTCAGGATGGCAGGGAAGACGAATAGCACCATGGCAAAGTTGAACACCACCACCACCGCAGCCTGCAGGCAGGGGGACATGTCAGAGCTGGGTCCGGTCACCCCCTTCCTGATCCCCCAACTCCCCTGCCCCAAGAGGGACCCCAGCCAAACCTGGAGGGAGAAGGCACGCAGGGCAGGGATGGGCACCAGGGCCGCCATGAAGAAGGCGATCATGTTGCTGACGGAGGTG